AGCAGCCTATAGGATACTATTTGACAATCACTTTGCAGAAATCACAATACCAAGCTCAATACAGTGGCTTCAAATATCTCCTCCATGATACCTAAACATCAGTGATGCCATTTGATATGAGACAAATTCTGATTTAACACAAAGATAGTAAGCTCACAAAATGAAGGCATACAATTACAATATCAAGGCATTGTCTTTCACATAGTTATCCAAACACATAGTAATATTAAAATAAAAATCCTACATGTTATTTCTAACTTACTTCTTTCCCTATCAATGTTTGCTCAATCTGCATTTACCAATTAAGACCCAGTTCCAGTGTTCAGAAAAGCAATTGATCAAACAGACCTAAAATAACAGGAATGTCGGTATTTACATAGTACTTCAATTAATACCTTCTCTGCATTTCACAAACTTACAGTACACTGAGTAGGAGGGGTGAAAAGAAAGGAGTTCTGTGCTCACTAAGGTAGGTAAGAAAAGCCAAGTATCATTTATGGTCGTATACGAGTCTTTGGTGGCATCCACTAACATAACCAACATACAATAACATTTTAGAAAGGATATTGAAGGCAGCTGACAGAACTTTAAAATATCAGAGAAATATGCTCTAGGAATCTAGTTCTATTCAGCTGTGAAACAAGGCAACATTGTCATAAAAAGGTTCACTGAGATTAAGAAAACCACAATTCCAAATAATAGCAGAGGCATCAAATATAATGATCTTTCTCCCCTCTTGGTACACAGGTATTTTCTTTCAACACCACTAGATCATGGACACATTCTGCATTCCTGTTTCTCTCATCTTCAGACACAACAACATTAGGCTCCCTTAGTAGTCAAGAGCCCCTTTAGATAGCTAGGATGACTGTTATTAAATTTCCACTTCCAAGTTTCTGCTGAAAGTGTAACCTCTTCCTCGTTCTCTAACCTTAACAACAGATTAGTTCAGTAGTGCCATTTAGATTAGGTTATGTAGTAATCAAGTGGCACAGGATTAGTCTATAAGACTGCAATAATCATTCAACATTGCTAGAATACATTTCCATAGCAATTAGATGTGATAGACCCCTACGACTGCACAAATTCTAGCCTGCTGATTCAAACTCTAGAAATGGCTGAAAAAGGTAAATGTAGGCTATGTATTCATTTCTTGATGTGCACATTTTACTATAATTATCTTTCTCTTGTAGTTCAAAAGGATTGAATAAAAAGTAGGAGACATACCTAAATGAGCCAGAGTGCTTTCAAAAGCACATCTAACTTTAAAAGATCTGCTCTACGCATTCTAATCGGAAATAAAGTCAACTGTAATAGGAGAGATGACATCTGGATTATCTCTTATGCAGAGGATTACTGAAGCACAGATTCAAAGCAAGTGAAAATGAATAAGGAAAAATATTATAATTGAAGATAAAGAATGTCAGGACAAGAGTAACAGCATCAGACATCCAATGAATTGTGATGAAAATCTGTCAGTGACATCCCCACTGCATCTGGAGAGAATTACAGAATTAGGAAAGTGCAGAATATCAGGGAAAAATTTCTAGTGTGGTACTAAATAAACATGCAGTCAGAAGCTTACAGAATAATTTTACAACTCAGCTTACAAGGAACAGTAAGTACTCTCAAGTTTAAAAACATCTTTTAATGTGTTCTCAACTTTAAACTCCATGGCCTTTCAAGAGAACAAGACAATCCCTGTACCAAGGTTTGTGTATGTCATATATGTTACACATCTGGTGATAAATACCTACTTCAGACTAATTCTTCAGAAGTAACACAGCCATGCAACAAAAAAGTGGATTATTTTTAGTGGTTCTTACAATAGTTTCCCTGCAAATGCAGCTAATTTTACAATAGTTCCACAAATGACTTTTTATTCAACAGCTAGGATAGTAATTTACTATTTTGCAATAAAACCCACAATTTGAAGGCAGTGTTAAAATAGTTACATGAACTCCTTCATCATGTGCTCTAGTAAATAAATCTGATATGCTCTTAGGGATGCTCTGATTTATTTTCATCCCAAATGGCATCCAAAAAGTTTGCATGCTCTGAGATATAAACACAAGTATGGAAAATGGGAATGATCTGCAGTTTCGCTATCAAAGCAAACCCCTTAAAGTGCTGAAATGCCAATGGAGACATACCTTGAGCCACCATCCTCCTGACTGTCGCACAGTCAGGGAGCATCCACAGAAAAAAAGACAAACGCTACTCAGCTAGCTATACATTAGCCTTCTAGTTGTAAAATGCACTACAAAAGCTAAGTATGTACTTATATGTAGAAGGCTGAAGGTTTACAGTCTGTATGAAATTGTCAATCTTCACTGAGTGAAAACCAACTAGAATCAGTATCTAGTAAAAGAGAGGAAGGCTACAATGTTTTATATGGAAAAATGAATACTTCCTCGAACTGTATAATCTAATAGCTATTTTTGTGTGAAATCAGTCTATTTAAAATTTCATTTTTCCAAACTGCTTAGTTTAACCGAGGTCAGCTGATTCAGATGCTATTGTTTGGGCAGTAATATTTAGAGATTTATAGCAAGCAGCAGATTTTTTCCCATGCCCTTCCTGACAAATGAAATGCTGCTGAGAAAAAAAATCCAGGAATCAGGAATGGCTCTTTGAGAGTTTTCAGGCTGTCTTATTAGCTCCTGCTCAAAATTATCAGTAAATTTCAGCTATTTGGATATATAACATTCTATATTCTGTAAACTATATACGTAGTTGGCACTTCTGGTGACACAGCCATTAAGTACAAAGCTCTAGCTGAAAGGACTGGGTTCAACACAGTTGTCACTTGGATATATGGACTTCTTCTTTATTGTGGGACCCTGTCATCATTCATCATAACACCTTCTGCAATAAAGCATTTAACAGAACCTAGAACTTTCTCACATTTCAGTCAGGTCTCAAAGATCTGTGACCTACAGTGCCCTCTGCTGGCAGATGCTTTCCCAGCTGTTAAGATCTACTACAATTATCCGTGATCAAGAGGCCTGTGTGTATCCATTTAATTTATGCTAAAAAACCACTTCCTTATAAGCCTCTTTCCTCCTCCTATTTTAATTTAAAAACCTTCCCCACCCGCACCCCACCATATAAGTAACAATCAGAACCAACAGATCACTCATCACACACTTCAACCAGCTTCAAGGAAAACAATTTGTAGAAGGTTTCAAGATGAGATAAGCAAGAATAGGGAATGTTTCTTCCATGCAACACAGCTTTGTTCCATTTCTAAACATCTTCAGTCTATTCAGTAACTACTTATTATCAATGTTTACTTGCCATTTTTTTTATTTTATTATTGAGTGAAAATTCTTTAAAAAATAAAATGGGTACAAGCAGGATGAGTAGTTCAGCTGAACTGAACTTATATTTTCAAGGTGGCTTTTCCAACAACAACAGTGTATTAGAAAGGCCAAACCTGTCTGCTTGGATCGTATTTATTAACATAGGAAAAAGAACTTTTCAAAACAAGAAATGTCTGTTGTTTGTTTTAAGAGCTATAGGAACCACATTTACTAAAAAAGCAACTGCTTCAGAGTATAAGAAGTTGAAATAATATTCCCTAAGTGTAGTCATTTCTGTATACTGTAAGCTCGTACAGTGCAAGGGATTGAATCTAATAAAAATATTTACATATACATACAGGCACATTGTGGCAATGACTCAAGGCAATTTAAAGCTAGCACTTTCATATTTATCTTTACAGAAACATTACCCTTAGTGTGTAACAGTATGTTAATTTCACTAATAAACACTGTTATTGATAAAAAAGTTTTCTATTGTGACTGAAAACACCAATTTCTCACTATCTAGAAAGCATCTGTTACATTCTTAACATAGTTTAATACACTTACAGCACTGAGAGTTACTACAAATTAAACTGTACTTTCTTCTGCAAGACCAAATCACAAGATAAAAAACATTTGCTGAAAGTAAGCTGCAACAAAAAGTGTACCATTAAGTAACTACTTCATTCAGTTTTGAAAAAATGCTGCAGGAAGGAAAAAAGAAAATCTATTTCTGCTTTATGTCAGAGCAGAATTAAGACCATGTTTTATTACTTTACTGCTGAGCAGATGCAGGCAGTATCTTTCTGTGGTTAAGTGGGTTTTCTCACTCACATAACATCTTCCTTCTCAGGTACAATCACTTCCCATATTTTACAGATTTTTAATTTTTGTATTTACAAAAGCATGCAAAACAACTTCAGAGGAATCCTTCTGATCCCCCTATGCACAAGAGACCTTTCTCTTTGCTTGTTTTTTCTGTCCTGTTTCAAACCCTGGTTACTACCCAAAGTACCAGACAATTCACGATTGTGTTTGTTATAGCAGACACTAATATTTTCAAAGTGTTCATCAGCAGAAGCACCACTATTTTTATAGTCAACCTTTGAATTTAGACTCAAAGGTTGACTATAAAAATGTACATTGCGTCAAACAAAATCCCAAAGTACACGGTATCTGCAAAACTAATGCAGGTATTCTGGAAATTCGAGGACTAACACTAAAGGCATGCAGGAAGGAAAAAGGCTAAGTAACAGAGATAAAAGCTTACAAGTGAACTCATTCAATACTTCTACATGTGCTGAGAGTTTAATTTCTTGTGTTTTGGTTAGAAATTTGCAAGGAGTAAACCTCAGCATTGGCCAGCCAAGACAATATCAGAGATAAGAGGTCTGTCAGCCAAAGCATCTAAAACTATGCTTCAATATCAAGGTCAGAAAAGCTTACTTATTCCAAGCCAAAAGAGTGTCTGCTGCACATCTGTTTCAACTTCTGATGTAGCTTGTCCTGGCAAGCAGTCCCAGCAGTCAGTCTCATTATAAAATAAAGCTACCTCAAGAAGTAATTTGCTCATTTACAGGACCTCTAGAGGGTTGAGAGGTACCAACTAAAGTATATATTTTTAAGCTTTGTAAACCTCTGCCTCTTTCCCCATTCTCTCTATCTAAAGCAAAGCAGAATCTCTTGGAAAAGATGATATTGGAAACTCTCAATCCAATGCACTACATCACCAGCCTAGTACCAGATGTGATGCCAATGGCCACAGTGCCCATACTCATTCTTATGTGCTTTCTATTTCTAATATGGAATCATGAAGAAACATCATCAATACCAGGTAAACTAACTCTGCGGTATCACATAAAAGCTGTCAAAGTATATTTTGTGTGTGTGTGTGTTTCTCAAATTTAAATGAGAGGGTAATACTGAATGAATACTGTATTATTATTAATAATAAAAGTTTTTAAAATAATTGATAAAATAAATCAGGCTCTATTTAACCTCAGTACTTCCATAATAAAACTGGCTTAGCTATATAAATATATGATATTCAGTTTTCTTTTTATTATGTATATGCTAGAAAGATATAATACTATTTTATGAAGTCTAGATGTTCATATATTCATGTGCATTATAAACTTCTACATTTTATATGTTGTAAGTTTAAAGCTTCCTGAATTGTCCTTAGTAGAGGCAAACACCATCAATTCAGAAATTATTTACATTTTAGTAAATTATTAGTTTTCATCACCATGTTTGCCACTGGAGACCCTCCAAAACAGAGCAACATCAGAGAAAAAATATTTGCCAAATTTCCTTCCATGTGCTAAATCTCTCCAAAAGTTAGAGAACAGGCAAAACTATACACAAAAGGTAGTGCTTTCTATTTGAATTCTTGATGAGATTGACAAGAAGATACAAATTAATTTGCTTTAAGATTACAGGTATTTGAATAATCTGTGTTCTTGTGATTTCTATTAGTAGACAGTGGAGTCATAAGCAACTTGTAAATCTTTTAAACAGTATAAAACACAAAAGATTTTATAAACACTTAACTTGTTTCATTTTATGGAATCCGATTTATGTTTTTACAGACTTTGTAAGGGCAAGTTAAGGTTTCAGTGAAGAAGGAAAACCTCCTTTTAAAAATAATGCAATGACTATGCAAATTCTCTCCTGTTCTCTCCACTTTCTCCTTTTTCTTGTAAGAGGGACATTTGATGATGAGTTATAGCAAAAGGTTTTAGTTGAGAGCTTTGATTAAATGCTTATTAATCCAGTCTTAGTTCCTACTGCAGCATGCTGTTTCTGTAAATTCACAGCACTAAAAATAATTTTTCCTTTAAATATCTATTTTCTTACTCTGGTGTTAATGACTAAGAGAAATGTAACTAGATTACATTACGAGAGATTAATTATATTTAATGACATCAAAAAGGTGTTGACTTTTGTAGGTGTTACTATGACACTTTGGCACAAATTTAGCCAAGATCACTCAAAGGTTTTGTTAAAAGCATGAATGAGTAAACCACATGCATTTTTTCTATATTGCTTCTTCCTTCTATTATTTAGCCACCGTTCTTCCAAATATAAACAATCTCAAAGCAGTAGTTTGAAGCTGTATAAAGTAATGAATTTTATTTATTGTATCCATATTGAACGAATCGCAGGCTTTCATGGGTAATAAATGAGGTTTCAATGATGTAGATGCAAGTTTCTGTAAGACAGAATTTCATAATGGGATTTTATGTGGTGCCCATTTCAGACATTGATGTAATGTAAAAAAATGTCCTTTCCAAAAGAGTGATATATTCTTGTCAGAGAGCACTGATGACAAAACTCGTCCTTTTTTTTTCCTTAGGGCCAGGATACTGTATGGGAATTGGCCCCCTCATTTCACATGGGAGATTTCTCTGGATGGGAGTTGGTAATGCCTGCAACTACTACAATAAGACATATGGAGAATTTGTGAGAGTTTGGATCAGCGGTGAAGAAACATTTATAATCAGCAAGTAAATCTGTATTTTCTATCTTTAATAATATGAAGAGCTTTTTCATATTTTTACAACCTTTTTTGCTATTTTTTTCAAAAGTAGAATTTAAGTTATTATTTTACAAATTTATCCTAACATAACAGTATTAATTCCTAATGTTCACAAATCCTTTTTTAATCTTTTGTTTCTTTAAAGACTCTACTATTGAGGTATCTACTAGAGACAACTACTGAATAGAATATCTCATTTTCTTAGTTGAAAGAAAGATCAAGAATTATGGCTCAATCCTAAAAAAATGTTTACAGTTTCTTCTTATTCCATTTAACAATAGTATTACATAGTACCCTGACTGCAGTGCAGGATTAAATCAAATTTTAGTTCCTGTGTTCTTATTAAGATTCTCCTTAAAATGAGAGTAATGCTTGAAGATTATGGCTCCAGTTCAGCAGGGTAATTAAGTAAATGCAGCATTACAGGATCATGAGTAATTCCACTCCAGTTACTGGGGTTACTCAGAGAGTTCAATTACACACAGTACTAAGCATAATACTAAAATGCAGTCTATCATTTTATTAGTTCCAGTAGCCAATTGCTTATATTGGATCTTCTGGATGATCATGAGAAAATAAGAAAAGAAAAAAAAAAATTACCATGCAAAATGGATAATAAATGACAATATTATTAGCAATATCAAAGAATATTCACCTCTCATTATGTAAAAGTTTATGAAAGATAATGCAGTAAGGAGGACTATTACAGGATTTTCCATTTGAGCAAGTCAGCTTCATCTCTATGTATGTAAAAAGAGGTAATCATTACAGGAAAACTATTTACATTCCTACCCTATGTAGATATTGTAAATATTAATTCACGTAACATTGTATATAATGTTTTGATCACATAACATTCTGTGAACTCTTACTCCTGTCTTTCACTGTATGTATTACCAGTTCTTCACAAACAAATCAGTAGTGCTGGTAAGAAGCAAAGCGATAAACTTTAGCATACCATAGCATCAGACTTTACACTTTACAGTCTATACATCACTTTTCTTCAGTTTTGCTGAAGATATTTACTTAAAATCATAGATATCATATGGAAAACTAGAATTTAACTTTTTTTTAATATATATATATATTTTTTTTTTTTTCAGAGTGATTCATAAATTCACTCCAAAACTAAATGTATCCCAAGTACTGAAAATGTATAGTGTTTCCACTGTTGTCATCTGAATTTTTACTGTCAAATCTAATTATATTGAGATGTTGCAATCTTGGTTACAAGAGATTTTGTCTTTTGGAGGACTTCAGTAAATAGTTTTATAAAGAAAATCTGCTTATACAAGGTCATATGTCAAAACCTATCCTTAAAATATTATTCTATGTCTCTTGAGTAGATGCATGAAATGGAATGAGCAAAAGGAGCTTCCTGCACCTTTCTATTTCTGGGCACAACTATCTTAATTCAGCACCATCTTTTCATGTTCATGAAACATAGCTGATGTTCCTTGATGCATGAAAAACATTTAGGGAAACTAGCAAAGAGAGCAACTGGGGGGACACATAGGAAGGGGTATGCTCAGTTCTTTGGAGGGGCTGGAGCTGCATGCACGCTGAATAATCCATGCTTGTTTGCTTGCACAACATAACATCTTATATTTACCACTGCTCATGCAAAATGCTGGTGAAAACCTAGCACTGATGAAGTTGTGAAGAAATAATTCCCATTTATTTTACTCAACTGAAAAAAAAAATAATAATAATTAGCCCATGTAAGAAATCTGCAATTTGGTCCACAAAGAATGTACGACTGTATAGAAAATAGCTTATTGTTTCATTTCAGTCTGTGCTCTGATTTTCCTTCTTTTTTGTTAGCTTATATTTAGTCAGGTTTTCATCACACTACCATTTCTAAAATGCTAGCTCCCTCTAAAGGAAATATCTTAAAGCAATAAAGCTGATCACAACCTGTTCACCAGAATGTGTGTAAATAAATCTTGTAAACTGTAAAAGATAAGTATGTATATGCTGGATTTCATTATATTTCGATTTAGGAATACTCATCCCACACATCTGATTTTATAAAATTTCTTTTTCAGTTTAATAGATTTATCTATCAGTAATTATCCTTGATAAAATTATGATGCTGCATAACCAAAAGTACTTAGTATACTAATACTTTGCAGGTGTGTTTAGGAACGACCAAAGAGCTGCCAAAGTATAGGTGAAATTTAATACACATCATAATGAAGTTGTCAACTGTCTGGTTATTTTTAAGTCATAGAATCATAGAATATCCTGAGTTGGAAGGGACCCTTAAGGATCATCAAGTCCAACTCTTGACACCGCACAGGTCTACCCAAAAGTTCAGACCATGAAGTCATCAAAGGAAAACTCTGAAATCTTCCATAAAAAAATATTAAATACATTGAAATAAGCAGAATTTGTCTTCCCTCCTTAACATACTTGAATTAATTATATTTCCTAAAATCTGCCAAGTTACTGCCTTCAAGTTAAGAAAAATATTTTTTCTTACATAATGAAGTAAGAGGTATCATATTTGGGGTGGATGTGTTGAACTGTTTACAGAAAATCCAAGTGTATGAATTATATGGAATGATGATTGGAAGAAGGGAGAGAGGGAGGGATAGACAAGCAGACAGAGATATACATCTCTTCCCAAAATATTTGCCAAGGATTGTGGAAATTGGTAGGATACTATGATTAATACTTCTGAAAAAATAGGGAAAAATAGTCAATGAGTGCTATCATAGACAGATTAGAAATGTACATGGATGTTAAACACATTGTCTTCAGTTTTACCACTTCATTCTTTATGATATGTACCTTAGCCCTCATAGTTATGCTCAAAATACAATCTGAAATTTTTGTAGGGCAGTGTTTTCCTGCATCTGGTATAAACTTGAGAGTCTGAGGAATACTCCTGCAGCGATTTTAAAAAGCACACACCAACTCTCAGTAGGATTGTATTACATGGTATGTCAGAAATTTTTAAAGGAAACAAAAATCAAACATCAAAATAATAAACCAATTTATATAATTGATCTAAAGTTAGAAAAAAAAATAATTATACAAGAATGTATGTAACTCGTTATTTTACCCCATCATCTGAAACATCTGACATTGGTCATTGCCTGAGAGTATATGTGTGTGTCCCTAAATATATATATATACTATTCAGATTAAAGACTTTTGGTCACCATTTGCATTTTAATTGAAAAATAGGTTTAAATCCAGACAGAATGCATTATTGCTCTAGTACAAATTCTGAAGCCATTTTATCATCTTGTTTTTAATTATGTAATAGGCGCAACATTTGGTGTCAAGCACAGTACCTTCTGCTAATCAGAGAATGAAAGGCAGCACTTCAGAGAATGTCAGAAAAAAAAATTTTGTATATAATCTATGAAACTGTATTTTAGTTAGATTTTTTTCTCCCCCCATTTCCTTCCCAGATCTTCAAGTGTATTCCATGTAATGAAACATTGGAACTATGTTTCTCGATTTGGGAGCAAGCTTGGATTACAGTGCATTGGCATGTATGAAAATGGGATCATATTTAATAACAACCCAGCACATTGGAAAGAAATTCGACCCTTTTTTACCAAAGGTAAATAAATCAGTGTGCATTAACACACTGCCTCACTCTATCACACAGTATTTTTTTCTGAAATGTTGTTTGTCCTTTGCATAATTAAATTAGAAAAATCAGTTCTCTCTTTATGTCTCAATATATTTTCTTGCACATGCTCCTTCACACTTATTCTGCTTGGTATGGTATTTGAAACAGTCTTCACATCTTTTTACAGATGCCTAATCTCTTCTGCTTAAAAAAAAAAACACCCACAAACCATACTTAAAATTATTTTTAAATTTCAAGACCAACATTCACGTTAGCTCAACCGGCATTTCTATTAATGTATTTGGAAGTTCCAACCTCAGCTTTAATTGGGTTCAGACTTTTCTCATTCTAATTAAAAGAAAATAATGTGTGTATAGTTTCAAAATTAATTTAGAAGATCTGCACAGCAGAACTATATATTAATCCATTTAATATGCTAGGAATCAATGTAGAAATAGAGAACAATCTTTTCCTCTTGTAGTAATGAGAAAAAGGTTGTTGTAATTTGTATCATTAGCTTGAAATCAAATAAGAAAATACAATACAATAAAATAAATACAATAAAATAAGTTATATAATAAATACAATAATAATAAAATACAGTAAAATTTGAATTTTCTTATTTTTATTGTTTTAAGAGTCTGTAAATTTTGGACTCACCTTCCTTCCAAATACAAAATTTTCACTGTTTGTATATCATTATAACTAGTTATGATCTTACAGCCTTCCTAACAAAACTACCACACTTTGTTGCCTTGTTGTTCTGCAAGCATTACAGTTAAGAAATCATCTGTTAAGTCTTCCTTACCATGTTGTTGATATCTGTACTTCTGTATGACACTTAGGCCTTTCCTAATTGATCTTGCCATTGAAAAGTACCAGCAACTTTGTACTGGTTAAAGATAACAGGAAATCATTTTTTTTCTACTTATTCCTAGAACTACCAGTTCTCTGTATTTACAACACAGACAACCTCTCTTCTCACTTATAAATGTACAATTACTCTCAACATATATTTGATAAAATATTGTCCTTTAGGCAATTAGAGGAATTCTTATATGGAAAAGGCAAGATTTCCAAAGTCACTCAAAATTATCTGAATTCATTCCAGACAGATCCTATCATAAAAATTATGCAGCAACAGAACTGACCACTGCTTTTGCTTGCTTTTAATTTCTTATAATGTTAAAAATGCATAATGACACTATTTCCCAATGTCCACAGATGGACAGACTAAGATTGGCTAACACATCTAGACTACTACTAGATTAAGCCTCAGGATGTCCACAGCGACACTATAGGCTGTGGGGAGCTTATTGGAAAGCTGTCATGCTGTTTAAGAACACCCAGGGATTATGATTCCAAAAATTCCTATCCTCCTTCCTGTGAATCCCCAATCTAACTTCCCTGCTCACCATCCTTGCAAGCAAGGCAGGACATCTACAGTGCCTATATTGCAGATGAGGATATGGAGGATATACACCTCCAACACTGAAAGATAGTGAAATGTATTTGGCTTCATCTGTGCTAACACTGTGTGAACCTATCATGAAATGTGTGCCTGAAATACAGAGTGACTGAATGCAAGGGAAGTTTGGGCCTTGGGTTCATTGCCATTCTAAGTCAAAATGCTTATGTTTTTCTCTCAAAACAATTTTGTTCCAGTCACTTAAGTTATAAAGATTTTTATTGATGCTATTATTGCCAATAAGTTATTAATAAGGCATGAAAGCTAATCTTTTTATCATTTTGCATATACCTATTTACAGCCCTGTCTGGTCCTGGTCTCGTGCGTATGATAGCCATTTGTGTTGAATCAACAATTGATCACCTGGATAAACTAGAAGAAGTGACCACTGAAGTAGGAAACATCAATGTGTTGAATCTTATGAGACGGATCATGCTTGACACATCTAACAAACTCTTTCTAGGGATCCCTTTGGATGGTACTAACAGCCTTATTTTTATAACTTATGATGAACCTTAAGTGCATAAACAAGAAAAACTTAGTTATATCACTCAGAAATATTGTTTCAGAAAATGGAACAAGAACATATTGTTATATTACTGAATAATTAACTGAAATTGATTGATAAGTGAGTCTAGTTATGAGAATTTTATAAGATCAAATACATATATTTAACTTGTCACAACCAAGCAAATAACATGTAAAAACATTTTTATGTACTAGGCTGCTACAGCCTCAACATTACATACATGTAAGAAACAGAAATCTTTCCACCAAACTAAATGATTGCATTGGAAAGTTCACCTGACAACTTTTCAGGTGAACTTTGATGACTTCTTCACCTTCAAAACCATTTGACAGAAGTAACATCCTGATGTACAAATTATCCCATATCAATACAGTGCAATAGAGTTCTGCTCCTTTTCTCCTGTGGGAAACTGGCTCTGGTTGACACACGATCTCCTTTTAGCTAGCTATCAAGAGTTTTTACAAAGAAATGTATCTTGTCTGCAGTGTGCCACAACTGTTTCCTAATGTTATCTACTACACATTAGAAACAAAATGGTTATCAAATTCCTGTCAACTCAGTGGGAGTAGGGAGTGGGGCCTCATTATTAATTTTCCTGAAACGTTTGTGTTATTTGACTACTGAAGTTTAGTTTTTATACAGTTGTTTGTTAACATCTATTTTCAGAAAGTGCCATTGTACTTAAGATTCAGAACTACTTTGACGCTTGGCAAGCACTTTTATTAAAGCCTGACATCTTTTTTAAGATTTCTTGGCTGTGCAAGAAATATGAAGAGGCAGTGTAAGTATCCATAGTTTTTACAAATCTTTTGCATAAGATTATTTCTTTCTAGGAAGAACGTTCCTTTCATTTTTCTCTTCCTTTTAGAGAATAAAATGTGAAAATTTCAAAGGTGACTGGTTGAAGCCCACTATCTGCAGACCCAAGATAGCAGAATGAGATCTGTCAGTGATGCTACAAGTGGCTAAACTCAGGGGAATATTTAAGGCCCATATTCACTCACCAAATTATTAGTTAATGCCATCTCAGATATGACACTGAGTTGAAATCATTGGTTCAGTTCAAAGAGGAAAGAAAAAGCCGTCTTATGGGGAGAAATTACTTTAACTATCTGTTTAAGGACAGTCAAATACTAGGCCACAGACTGTCAGACATAAGAAATCACATCTACATCCATGGAACTATCCCAAAAGAGAGTTAACCCCTCAGTATAATTCTACTTATTGGTGTCCATAATGAGCATTTTTGTGTCAACAACCTTTTTTTTTTTTTTTTTGAGCTAAAACTTTGTGTTTTGCATGATAATCTATTTCAAGATTGTTTCTTCCTTTATACAAGAATAAATGTTTTTTGCTGTCTTCCTATTTGTAAAAGCACATAATCCCTCTTCTATTTTGATGCTCTCATTTTCTGTCTTCTGCCTAAAGAAGACCAGCTATAAAAAGAACTGGCAATGAGTTTGTTCATTTTGGATTTGGAGTCCATTTAAGGAGAGAAAAATACTTTTTATCAAGCATATGTAATAATTAGTTTTGATAATGCTATATAGTATAAAGACTTTAAGGGAAAGATGGAGGTTCATAACCAACAGCTCTCTTACAAATTAGATACATACCAGTGTTATTACGGCAGTGCTTAGTGCTTTATTCTGTGATTCTAATAATAGCTAAATGCAGTGGCCCAATTATTACTAGAAAGTCCTTGTGGGCAAATATTAGTGGGCATAAATAATCTCATTAAAATAACCATATTAATAAATCTATACCGGGAAAAAAAAAAAAAAAAAAAAAAAGAAAGAAAGAAAAAAAAGATAAAGATCTCTGAATTTAAAGCAATGCGGAGGAAAACCACAGGTTATCACCACTTCTGATAAAGTTGGGTTGCTCTTTCTAATACATAAAAATGTTATATATGAAAACCTTACCAAGTTTTAATTTTGGATTTATTCCCCCTATAAAACAAGCCTTTTAAAAAGAACATTACCTTCAAATCTGTAGCTAATTTAAAATGCCAAATAAAGTATTAAACACCACTGAACTTCACTATTTTTCCAACAGAAATACATACTATTGACACAGTATGTCTGATTACAGCTTTACAAAACAGTGAGGTCAACTATACCATCAAGAAAGTACAATTTTTCTTGCATTTTTTTAAACAATTATTCCTCTTGTGAAGTTCATTTGCAGTGTAAATATGCAAGGGAACAGAAATCTTTGGAAATATTAATAAATCTTTAAAAACTCTATTCACTCTAAGATAGACAGGTTTCATTCTTTTCAGTTCTACAAGAAGAGAATAAGATTTCAGGCCAAAGGAAGAAGAAATTATTTTTATAAGAAAAGTATTGCTGCTTTTGTATAGAACCATATAGCCATTTATAAGAAGACTAAATTTCTGCCTTTGTTAGGCTTTTTCATTAGTATAATCTTCATGTTTCTAAACATATCCTATCTACCTATATCTAGTCATATACTAAAAGGCTGCAGATATTTATCAATATATTGGATTTTATCCACTTTCAGCAAAGATTTGAAAGGCGCAATGGAAATCTTAATAGAACAGAAGCGACAACAGCTTTCCACCGTTGAAAAGTTAGATGAGCACATGGATTTTGCATCCCAGCTGATTTTTGCACAGGTATTGACAATGTACCAAATTATTGCTAAGTTGTTTTTTTTTGTTTGTTTGTTGTTTTTTTGTTGTTGTTGTTTGGTTTTTTGTTTGTTTGTTTCTGCATGTCTCCATTCACTAACAATACAGACTTTACCACTCAGACTTCATGTAACTATCAAAGTCTTATGAACAGAAACAAATTAGTTGGCTTGGGAGAATCCCCCAGGTGCTTGTATGATTTTGTTTTTCATGGCTTAAATAACATCCTCAAAACTCTTGACTCTACCCCTGAACATTCTTCAGTCTTTCCCTAACTCTTAAATTTTATCTGTATATATTACCTTTTGTATGCAAAAGCTTCAAAAGCTATGTAAATCGTATCTTGCATAATCTCTGACAGCTCACAGACTCTGTGGGGAAAGGTAATAAGTCAACAAGAATCTGAGATAAGAAAAAAAACATGCTTTTCTGGAAGATCATACACATCCCCTAAAACATGGATTTCCTGTTTTTTCTCTGAAATAAAAAATAAATGCTTTTTAGCATATGGGACTGTCAAGATCTTGAATTCTGTTTAAGCAGAATTCTGTTGGCATCACAGTTCAGCAATCAACATTTTCCTCAACATTTCAAATTTTTTCAGAACAGAGGAGATCTGACTGCTGAGAATGTGAACCAGTGTGTGCTGGAGATGATGATTGCTGCTCCTGATACTCTGTCTGTGACTCTCTTCTTTATGCTAATACTGATTGCGGAGCACCCCACAGTGGAAGAGAAGATGATGAGGGAGATTGAAACTGTTATGGGTAAGCAGGACCTGCAAAGTCACTAATGTAGGAATATAATGTTGCTTGGGCAGTGATCTAATTTCCATTACTCAAAGTCTAAAAATTCTAAGGATTATTTTCCAACACAAGTATTTGTTGTAAAGTATATGAACTATTACTGTATGTAAGCAATTTTATTCAAGGTCAAGTGAAAGATTAAATATTTTTAAGACAAATTCAAACAGGATTTATAAGAATGTACAAGCTATTAGGAAAAAAAAAAAAAAAAAAAGCACTTATTCACCCCTCAACAAGAGCAGTGCAAATCATCACTCACCTCATAAGCTCCAGTGAAATTATTTTCTATTTCCCTTTCAGTAGCAAGTGGAGACACTCATTTCAAATAGTTCTAATCATCGACAGTTCTCTACACGTGTATAGAACTTAACTAATTTTGACTATGACTGCAGAAAGAAAATATTAAAGAAAATTAAAATTGTTTTATTATTCTGCTGTCATCCATTTTGATTTCAAACTATATTAAGTATAATATTTTAGTATTAATGATGAGCCACTCAAAAACAATCAAAATATTCCAAATCTATATTCATCCCTTTCTCTAGTTTTCAAAGTCTCAATGCTAGTAAACTATATAGAAACTAATTTCAACCACTCCTATTCAACATTTACTTTGAACAGTTAAACAGTGGCAAGCATATAACAAATCTCTTTTTCTAAGAGATTTATATAACATATAACAAACAAACATTTATATAACATATAACAAAGCTCTTTTTCTAAGGTACTTTTAATTCAAGTTTTAGATACAATGCAAGAGCTGTGATGTTATCTCAAAACTTTTTAAAAAATGTTTTGGCATCTTTCCACCTCAAGCTAGGAGACAGCATTTCTCTTTGTCTTCTTCATGGCCATTTTTTTGACTGTCTGAAACACTGCAACTGAAATAAATCGAGCAAACAGTGAGCTTTGATATCAGTTTACTGACTAACAAAAAATTTGAATCCTATAAGCCATAAAAATAGCAAAATCTTCCACTAATATATAACTCAAAGGTTTTTTTCCCACAACTATACTTGGCTTCTCAGTGGTACCTAGATAGAATATAATGCAAGAGGTTAGCCTCTGATCTGTCACTAAAGAAAACCTCCATAAAATCATTACGTGCCAGAGTTTATCAATCTTGAAGTCTGCTAAAATAAACAGCCATTTACCCTTACAAATGAGCTTTTTCTTCATCAAGTATTGTGTAGTTTGAAGAGACAAGCACTAACTTACTAAGTTACAAGTCTTCAACATTTAACTTCCCACAGTAATATCTGGTCGTTAGTGTACTGTTGCTTTGATGAAAAAATATTTCTGATTTTACAAATATTATTTGAGAGAACATACAATTGATTCCATATTACATTAAATTATTTTTACCAAGTAATGCTTCTATCACTGCGTAACAGACAGAAGGTTTTTTCTAGTTGTTTTTTTCAAGTTGAGATTTCAAAACATTCCATAAAACACCAAGATACATTCTACTCTTTCTTTGTATTTGAAAATTATTACTTCACAACCTGATGAAAGGTAACACGGCAGTGGAAAAGTGGAAAAGTACAAGATGTCACAAATTCATCAACTAGCTACAAAACATCCACAATTCTATATATTTTGTCTATAAAATAGCTAAGATTACAGTTCCTTGAATTTAAAATGGCAGCGATGTCTGGAGAGCATTACCTACATTTGTGGAACTTTAAAGAATTAATTAGATGCTTCGAGTTTTAATTTAATTCTGATTCAGAACAAAAGGTATTTTCAGTGACCAATACAAAGGAATTACTGTTTGGTATTTGGAAATCAGAACCCATAAAAACATTAAATAGAACCACTAGAAATGCAAATGTGAACAAGACAGGCATTGAAAAATTTTCAGAAGAAAACTTAGCAGCAAGGTGTTTCGCTGATTGCTTTTCAGCCATCACTAGGAAATAGACTAAAAATTTCTGGAAGGATTACAAATATTACAGGGATTCATGCATGTAAAGCATATTAATGGCCAGATTTATGTAATGCATATTGATGTGAAGCACATCAATAAGCCTACATCTTAAGCCTACAGGCTTAAGAGTGATCTATAAATGGGTGATTCTGAAGAGCTGGCATAGCAGAACATTATTGCTACTTCCCTTCAGAGCAATAAATCATATTTTATTGTGTTTGGAAGACTTGTGTACGCCAATATTCACCCTCACAATTTCTTTCTGAAAGCCTTGATTTTGGGAAGGCAGTAGTATGTTGTTGATTTTTCCTTAAGCAAATGACTAACTGGGGTAGCAAAGGTCCTTTTTATGTGGGAAACCTACCATTGCAGTGGTCAAGCTTTAGGTCTTCAGCTGCTTGTGGCTTGAAAGTTCAAGGCTCCCACTGGGACTACATTGTGGTACTGAAACTGCTGCTAAAAAACAACTAGGAAGATGTTATTCATGGTAATTGAAATTATTAATTTCACTCTAGGACCTACCTGTACATCTGTCCAAACACAACAACACAATGAAAATGTAAGGTCTCTACAAAATTATCATCTCGCATCCATAAACTATTCCCAGATTCTACTTGCTGTCAGTTTTCAGGGGAAAAAAGAAAAAAAAAGAAAAAAGAAAAAAAAAAAAAGAAAAAAAAAAGAAAAAAAATAAAACAATCAGGGCTTATGCTGATATACCATGTTTCCCAAATATGTAAGAATGCATAAAACTACTTAGATGATGTTGGATCCTTCCCACCATTTTAGGAGTTGAGAATCTTTCAAAATATTTTGGCATTTGTATGGTGAACTTATTAAATTCATAACCAACTTTTGCACCATTTGTTTTATTCCTGAAGGTGACAGAGATGTACAGAGTGATGACATACCAAACCTGAAAATTGTGGAGAACTTTATTTATGAGAGCATGAGATACCAGCCTGTTGTGGACTTGATCATGAGAAAAGCTTTACAAGATGATGTGATTGATGGCTATCCTGTGAAAAAGGGAACAAACATTATTCTCAACATTGGACGCATGCATAAGCTTGAATTCTTCCCAAAACCAAATGAGTTTTCTCTTGAAAATTTTGAGAAGAATGTAAGTTTGCCATCTTATTTCTTACAGGAGATTGGGTATTTTTATTGACAATGTATATTCCTCTTATTTCAATCAAGACCTTTGTGACCTTAAGTCCATTTTCTCTTTGTCTAAGTGCATAAGCTAGTGATACATCCTGCTTATTACTGTTATTATTAGAGCTAGGTGGGCATTTCCCTATCAAAAGTGCCTTTTAATTCAGAAATAATGATGTTATTGAAAACAAAAAGTTTCTCAGACATCTTAATCTCGATTTAAAAATTCTGAAGTATGTCCAAGGCGCACACACAGTTATCTCCCCTGATACTGGACAAAATAAAGAGGCTTTGGGGAGCTACAGCCATGCCACAAGTACGCAGAGCTGAGACAGTGTAAGGAATCAAGAAATCTCTGGAGAGGTGGAGCAGTATGGCAATTTCTGAGACAGAGAATCTAGCTCCCATTTTATTCATACAAAAAAAAAATAATCTAAGTAAAAATAAACACCTTTTTTAGGCTGAAGTGGCAATCCTAAGCTTTAACCAGCTCAGTACTGAAAATGCTAGGTAATTCTCTTCAAGTTCAGCACAGCATTTAGGTTTTAGTCTTACTCCCAAAAGAATTAGAATTTTCTTTAGCACACATTAAGTCCTGTATCAACAGTGTTATGTGAACTTTTGTTTTGTTTTCTACATGTAAACTCCTACTATTGGGAAACATCCTTCAGATTATTTGTTTTCATTCAGAACTTTGCTCTTCTGATTACTGATGAAATAAATAATTTCCCAAAAATTTATTCGTTCAGCAATAATCACATGGAGAAATTAAAAACACAGTGAAAGAAGATAGACCAATTCTATGGCAAGACTGATTCCTTGTTTTTGACTGTTAACCAGTGCAGATAGAAATAAAAGATATTTCTGTCCAAGAAACGGCACGAAATATTAAATATTAATGTTTGGTTAGCACTCCTGTGGAGCAATTAGCTACATCTCTGGAACAAATAGCCATGTAAGAGTGAAAGGCATAGTCAGCTTAGCCCTGTGAAGGGCTACAGAACATTAGCCTATTATCACAGGTGCACAGGCTTTCATTGTATACAAACTATATTGTCTAGTGGCCTGTCAAATACTAAGGTTGCATAGGGCTAAAGCTAAAGGGTTAATGATCACTGCAGCTGTCATAACTCTCATTTTGACTAACTGAAAAACAAATGGAAGTAAGTTTTATTACCTGGCAAAACTTTTTTTCCTAAGATGTTAGAAGCTACACCCATAAGCATCCATAGAGAATGATTTCAGTTTTAAAGGAATAAGTAGAAGATCCGCTTCAGTTCTTCCAAAATGGGCATACAAATAAATAATTAAGAAAATAAAGACACAAAAGATATGTATGTTCAAGCTAGAAATATGTCTCCAAGCTTTACATTCTACCTATCAAAAATCCAGGAGTACTACATATGCCATATACACAACAAGAACTAACCATGCAGGATAACATTTCTAAACTGCTAGCTGATTACCCACAGCAAACTCTGCACACAGTACTAAAAACAACAGATCAGGGAGAAGGCACTAGAAAATTCAAGAAAATGATAAGTGATTAAGTTTATTGAAATAACTATTCACTGTGAATAGATTTCACGTTGCCACCCATTGTCTTCATTCTAGATATTTCTATCAAAATGTATTTCTTGCTTATTTAACAAGCACACTTTGCTTCTAAAAATATTTCCCCTTGACCAAATATTTAACCACACATTTTCTAACTGACTTGATGCATTATATTTGCCACATAATTATTCTAGCAAGTACAATTTTCACACAGTTCTCTAAGTGAATAGCAACCAACACCATTATTTATAGGATGACATTGTTAGAATCTAAATATTTTTCCATTTTCCTCAGCTGTGCATTTGCTATTGTGCTATGCTGCCAGCTGCTGCATTTGCTTTGTATTATAAACATTTCTATTTACCTATCATTCTTCAAAAAGTACAGTTGTTTTTTGGAAATAATTTAAATAGTAAACATTTTTTAGTCTGGAAATGAGGAAAAAAGACACTTTTCTAGAAAATTCAATATAAAGCAGCCTTTTCTATTCTTGGATTAAACAGGAAATCAGAATGCAGCTAGTGTGTTCTTTTTTTAAACTGCACAAATGATGAAAAATAATTTATTTATTTCCTTGGTGTCTTGGTATGTCATAAGCAGTAATCTTCATGTTTTAGGGGGTCTTTTTGGATAATTGATCTATTCAACATTGATAAAGACAACAGAAACTGGCTGTGAATTCTTCAACAGTTGTGGGAATCCCACATTTTACATTTTATTTGATAGGACAGGAGACAATCATTTATAAAATGTTCTGTCTATGTTAAATGCCAAATAAAAATGACAGTACATTTTATGAAACATTGATTTTCAGAAACACTAGCTTTATCATAATTGTAGTAGGTGTATAGTGCTGTGATTAATGTTAGTTAAGGCATCAGTATTTAGCTTAGACATTTATGAACATTATAATTAACTTTTTCTGAAAAAGTTTTTAATGAACTTTAATGTACATTAGAGTGAAACCTTCACTACTTCACAGCCTATGGTAAAATCCCTATAGTTCACAGGATGAACAGACTGAAATAAATGGCAGAATTCAAATGCTTAAATTTTACATTTGCTACTACTTTAGTATTTGAATTGGCATACCTCCTGTATTTCTGTAGTCATTTCTGTATTTTGGTCTGACTTGAGCAGGAGGACTGTTCAGCGTAAAGAGTAACAGAAAAAGAATACATGAGGTAAAGACATAGCTTGGGTACAAGGAAATAAGTAAATTTTCCTAAGAGATTCACACTTTTTTTTTTCCCAAAGAATATATTTCCTATAGATTTCCTTAATTTTTTAGCTACTTTTGTGAAGAAAAAAAATGCCTTAAAGTTTATTCCTCATGTTATTCTGTGCAGGTTCCTTCACGCTATTTTCAACCGTTTGGATTTGGCCCTCGGGGCTGTGTAGGAAAGTTTATTGCCATGGTAATGATGAAAGCAATTCTGGTGACTCTTCTGAGACGGTGCAGAGTACAGACAATGAAAGGAAGAGGACTTAACAACATCCAGAAAAACAATGACTTATCCATGCACCCAATAGAAAGGCAGCCTCTGCTGGAAATGGTTTTTACACCAAGAAGAAATACAAATAAGAAGCAGAGTGACTAAAATGGATCAGCATTAAAGTTAGAGGGCGTTCTCAGCCAGTCACTTTAAGAAATGTTCCTCCTTCCTAGGTAAAGATATAATGTAAAACGTTTTGTTGCCCCTAAATCACTACAGCTCCAAGTGACCACCTGTTCGGCCCATACAATAGAACTAAAGTTCTGGCCATAGCTTCAATGTAATAAAATAAGATCAAATTTGCAAAATAGTCCTGTTGTTGGGTGACATCGCACTATACACAGGACTCCTGACTCCTTTTTAAAACTGTCAAGTTCAGATGAAGTCACATGTCACTTTTCAAATGGTGCAAAGTCAGAGCCTTGGGGATCAAAATCACATGCCTGGTGTGTGCTAAATTCCAGGACTCATTTCTGGGTTTGTTACCTTCTGTCCCCAAGTTGGACTTAGCAGTACTTACTTACCATGAAAGTTCTAATCATCTGTTTTCAAACACATCTGAATAATACTAAATTTGACTTTAAGAATATGAAACAATTTAAAATTCATAAAGCTGTCACACTAAAAACATATACATGTATTACATATCTACAATAATGTCCTTTATAATATTTAGAATACATTTAAGTTCTGAAAAGTTTGTAAAAAGTCATTCAAAACATTTATTTACCGTGTTTTGCTGTTATATTAAGCAGATACCAAGGACTCGGTGTTAGACTGATTGTAATTTTCAGAGAACCAAGAAATTTAACAGTTGAGAAAACTGTTCTGTACTTTTAAAATCCAGTGTTCTGATACAGATTATGTTTAAGAGGGTCTGTAAACATTTCAGGAATGACCTTAGAACAGAACATTTTAGGAATGACCTTAGAATAAAGTAATGACTATGAAACATTACCATTAGTATCATACAGAAGGAGTGGGGCAATGCCCACAGCTCTGTTTCTGACAAAACTTCCCATCTTGCTTCAGTTTGGAGAAGTTCAAATTCTTCCTAAACTGCTTAAGTAGTACCAAATCCTGATTCAATCTATTTTTAAATGCAGTTCTACTTCATAGTAAGATTTAGAGTTGTTCCCATATCCCCACACCACAAAGCAGGAGTGAAAATCCCTCCCTAATTATCCACATAGCTCTTAGTGCTTTTCCTGTTCTAAAGCATCTAAGCATCTTGCTCCATATACTCTTGCTCAAGAGCCAGTCTTTTTTTCTTTTTTTTTTTTTTCCTTTAAATACAGTGAGGTCAAAATGAGTGGGCTGTACTCCTCTACTCAAGGTAAGATGCAAGTTTCACAGGGTACTGCTCAGAGTTTTGCAGTACCCTGTGAAGTACCCTGTGCAGTACCCTGCAGTTGGCAAAGGAGGAAAGTTCTGAAGCAACAAGTAGATTTTTCAAAAACACTTTTAAAAGTTTGTGGGTTTTGTTATTGTTTGTGTGTTTGTTTGTTTTTACTTTTTTTTAATATAATTACTAATATTAAAATTAGACTTAGTTTTATATATGGTCCTTTACAGGAGAACTAGATAACTACCTACATTTCTTCTTGAAAATGGAAATTAAAATATCTCGAAATCTGTGAAATATACCTTGACATTTATTACTAGCCTAATGATAAGTTGTTTATTTGGTGAAGAAGGAAAAGAGCTCCCTGGTTTACTGACAACAGTCCTTGAAAGAAACTTTCCATTTTTGGTAAGCTTCAGTGTTCATGTTGTGTAACTTAAAAAAAGGGGGTTTCAGGGTAAAGCCTCTTGATAAAACCAACCAACAAACAATAGGTTTATATTAATCTTTTCCTCCAAAGACACTTTAACCATAAACAGAAAAAAAAAAAAATAATTGTTTATGTCCTTGCTTAGAAAACTTATTAATGTTAATTAGTGTAATCCCTCAGACCACTGCTCTCAGGTACAGGTCTGGCAGAAGACCACATATTCTGTAGCATATAAAAACTACACACAACCAACAAATAAACGTTTGTTCCAGCTAAGGGTAATGAATTAGGTCAGGTTGGAATTGGTGATCAAGAAGAGCTGCACATCTAGGTTATTTCTCGAAACAGCATGGAAGCTTTCTACAGGATTTTTTTTTTTTTTAATCAAACTTGAAAATGGAATAATTTATTGTAGCTAGGTTACTTTTAAAGCTTTCTCTGTAGCATTGGCATAGTACCCAAAGATGATACAACAGTGAAGTCCCATACTACTTGTAATTACAGACAAAACTGAACATGCATATAAATAGGATTTCCATTTTTTTAGTCATTAAGTGATTTAGTGGCGTGAACATTTGGAATACCTAATGTAACCTCTATTTCTACATACACTGCAAGTTTTAAACTAAGAAATACAGTTAGTTGGAAAAAAGAAGTGGGTAGAGGGTAGCATCCAAATTAAACCCCATTCTTCCTCATTCTGTACCATAAAACACCAAAAAGAGTGCTTTGATGGCCATGAATTTTTCATCTGAATAAGAACTTTAAAAAAAAATAATCCACTGAACCTTCTTTTGCTTGGGAATAAACTATCACTTTATATACACTGTGCATCTTCATTCATTTCAGACACAAACATTTTGAATAGTGATAATTTACTCTCTGGTTTTCCATCTCACAATTATAGGTCTCTCAGAACATTTTTTTTCTCAAGGTTGGAACTAATAAACTATGTTTATCATTCAAATTTTAAAATAATTATATGAAATCATGTAGACAGGAAAATGTATGCTGCTCTGATTTCTTTAATATATTATATACTGATGGCATTATAGGGTGGAATTTCATAAGCATGATTACTGTAATTAGAAGAATTTACAGAAGAAATAAAGAAGGAATAAGGCAGTTTAATTTTTTACCTTTTGTAAACAAGCCTGCAAAATTATTTTGTATTGTATTTTAATTACATTTTCTCATATGCTTTGCAAATAGTGTTTTTGGTCCTCTAGTTTCTACTGTACCTTATTTTGCCCACTTTTGGACAATGGAGCTGTTAGTTAATCTGAGCTGTTAGATAATCTGAGCCCAGTTCTCCGTGTCTTTATTATGGCTGTTATGCAGTGGTCTATTTGCATCAGTATTTGCATGCTAAGTCCCATTTCACTTCCTCATACTTAAATTTGAAAACAGTTATTGATGAAGCAGCATTTCAGAGATTACCATGTGGATATAAACAAGTTAAATCTTTTAGATATATATACCCTATTGTATATAACTCTGATTTTAAATGGTGTTTTATTACCAGGCACTGTAAAAATGTAGGTGACTTTTAGAACGACATCAAATCTACTATCATCAAGTGACTATTCTATTAATGTTCAATCTATTCACACAGATCAAACTTGAAGACTGTTTAATACATCACTGTGATTATGGGCTGTTCACAGCACATAAATGTGGTATGCTGTTAGAAAATAAAACAATCATCAAATAAAATCTGTATGCAAAAAAAAAAAAAAAGTTTAAAATTGTTTCATCATGTTTTCCCAATCTGAAAAAAAAATATATCACAAAAAAGTGTTTAAATTTATGAATGTGTATGGATGCATAAACTGATGATTAAAATATTAGATACAATGGATGAAACACAAAATCTGCTAAAATCAAATTTTCCACTAAGTTCCAAGGATCTAAAATTGCACAAATGATTTTAATAATACAATGGCAGAAATAGAGTAAATAATTTAAGTTCATATGAGACTTCTTGTCTGTAAGGGCATTTCTTCAAAGATTGAAAAGAAGGGACATTGTTTTAGTGATTCTGAAGAAAATAGGGATTTGTGGATGTAAAAGGAAAAAAAAATCTTGACTTAACAACATAAATATAAAGGGTCTCAGCTACTTGTAAGAAAAGTATCTAATAAAAATGAAACAGAACAAGGAAATAAACAGAATACATGATTCAAAAAAAATCTTTTTCTACTTATATGCTGGCATGACAAATTCAGTTTGTTTCCGTGAAACTTTTGCTTTTGAATGAAAGCTTTAAAAGAGCTAATTCTTGTATTTGGATAAGTTACAGAAACAAAGGTAGTAAATGGCATACAATAGAAATCGCAAGAACTCTTTAAAATAGCTGCAAATGAATATATTTTTCTAAAAGCAATCTGATCATGAGACACTCTCAGCAAAAAAAAAAAAAAAAAAAAAAAAAATCTATCCTAGAATTTTACAAGCTCTATTAGCTCTAATTTAAACATGAATAAACAATTGCCATTTTATTAGATTGTCTACTTTTTGCATTCTTGAATACCAATCAGTTAATAGCCCATTAAATTTCATTTTTAACTAAACTAAAAATCTCAGTTGAAACTTTACAGCAGGAAGGATTTTAATACTGTTCGATAGAGGGAAACAATGGATGCGTTGGGCTATATCAGCCCTGATCCATACCAAAATAAATACTTCTCTAAGACTGGAATTTTCTGCTGACATTTTAAGGCGAGTTACCCACGACTTGAGAGGTTAAGAATGTGAGAGCTCAAAACATTATCTGTCTACTATTATTGTAAACGTTAAACTTTGAGTCATTAAAACAGTATGCAGAAACAAACTTGTTTTTATAAGTCCAATGTTTCTGAACATAGACCTTTAGTTTTATAGTGTAGACAAGATATCAACAATTCTACACACTGTATAATGTCATTCAAATGCAAAAATGTGTTAAAAATCTTACAGAACTGATTTTTTTAAATTTATTTTTAAATTTATTTAAAAGAGCCATGAGTCAACATTGTGCTCTGAACAAGGTCCAGCAGATGGCACACACAGAAAATTTATTCATACAACAAGAACAAATCCACATATTAGCAAAGTCCCTGATGATGTACAAAAGCTAAAAGCCAGACTTCTGTGGTCTTATTCAGCTACTAAACGCTGCTATAGGAAGAGGTGGAGTCCTTCCAAAGTCATTGAAAACATACAGGTGGAGACAAAACTAACCACCAATAATGTGGACAGAGCTTACTAGGATTATTCCAATTAGTACTGCCATTAGAGCATTATTTTCACATATCAGCTTTTACTAAAACTGTTCTCCCAGTCTGCCTGAGTGGAATCTGTATGCAACATTTGGCATCAAGGTTGACAGAAACCTGCTTAGTAAGTTCCAAAATGATTTCTGAGAAATTTCAGGTGTCTGTTGGGGTTTTAAACATAATTCTGCCTAACTGAATTTGATGTCTTCATACTACTTCCCTTTCCCTTAATTTGATGTTTTTATATGCTATTTTACTCCGTTGCTTGGTTAATTTAATTTAGTGCCTCTATGGCATTCTTCCATAGTCCACAGTATAACAGGAATCTCTAACGAAACACAGTCTATGAAGGAAAGTTGATTTTTGTGTATTGATTGATCCTTCAATAAGTAATGCAGGTCCTAACACTTCATATGGCCTCACCATGCTTATACAAATAGTTACAAGCTTATCAGTCCAAGAACTCACCAGATCTTCATAACTCTTTATTCTTTAAACAATTGCTGGACAAAATCAAGATCAGTGAACTCAGCTGCAAAAAAGGATACATTTGGCACAATATGCACAAGCTGCCTGATTAGCACTGAAAATACCTCCCATAGGATTTCAACCATTTCTTTCCTTCTTAGTTTTAGAAGAGCTGATTAGCATCTCACTCAATGCTTTATAAACGTATCTTTACCTTATAATGATATGGAGATGGAGCTGAATCTCATTCTCCGTTTATCAGTCATTGAAAGATTCTTGGCAAGTCATAAAGATGAAAGATTCTTGGCATATCATAACAGCTGTATTCGGAAACTGCACCTTCTAACACCTGTAAGCGTATTTGTACTTATATTCCCCCTTATTCACTCCAGCAAACATTAGAAGAAACTATTATTCAACACTGAAAAAATATAACAGAGACATGAGAACATTATAAATCAGTATTACTATAATATTAAGTATGGTGCTAACTGCATTAAGAAAATTGCCACTTACTTCCATTTCAGAAAGCACATAATTAAATTTTATAAAAGGATTAGATCCAGCTATGGAATGAATCCTAAAGCAGCTGCAAATGAATTTTCTATGTTTGATGTGAACAGAAACATTTTCAAATGAAATTTCATCATCTCCAAAATACAAGTAAAATTGAAATTATATTCATTGATCTCATCTTCCTTCTTTCAAGAGGGATAATGCAAAGAAAATAGATTCATACCATAGAAATGTTATCATTCCATTATATTATTTCACCTTAGGGTTTCAACGCACACTCTGAGTATCAATTAAGTCTCCAAGACAGAACTAACTTGCTAAATGCTCTCCAGAGAGAAGTTATAATAAAAAACAATAGACTAGGTAACTCAAAAGCTAAATGCTCAAGGACCCCCTCACTTAGCTGACAAACTTTGGTCAAAAAGTTTGACCAAAGGACACTGGGACCATAACCCAAAACATTGTCATGAGATCATAGAATCATTTAGGTTGGAAAAGACAGTGACCTTTGCAACTCACAGAACAAGGAATTTTATACAGGCTACATAAAGATATATTCCCTAGTGAATAGTGCCTCCTGAGCTTGCTCTGTGCTCTTTGGAGACCACACTTGTCCTCAAAAGCCCTGTGGAAGAGCTGGAGTTTAAGAAGACCGATGCTCTGAAATTTAGCTGTCATCACTAACACTAGGATCCAAGTACAGATAACAGTGTAATCGTATTTCATGGAAGAATTGGTAACGATGCAGTAATGACGTATAGGAATAGTCTCCAAACATTATAATCTATTGGAGGCCCAAGTTTACAATGTTCTTTAAGTTACAAAGCTAAAGATTATCAACTTGTGAGCTTCTCAAAGCATATTATTAGACCTGTTCAAATTTAAATAATAATAATAATAAAATTATGAAATATTCTGTTTGAAGTTTGCTAACATGAATCTATTTTCACAGTTCTTTATCGGGTGGTGGGGCAGGAAGAGATACTCATCTCTGAGAATTCAAGGAATTCTCTGTAGAATAGAGCATAGGGACAGAACATGAACAGAGCAATAGAAGATTAAACCAATCCAAAATGCTGTTTCTGAAAAGGCTCATTAATTAGCATGGTGTATTTGTGTCACCACAGTCTTTCGAACAAAATACCACAGACAGGACTTGGATCAGAGTAAAAACACATAATGCAATTATGTGTTTTATGCAATTATTGCAATTGAGCCTTTGCAAGTCCAGAAACTGTTTATATACAAGTCCACAGTTTGAAAAGGCAAAAAATAAACTGAAGTGTGACATTTATTCACCAAGGCTTTTTAGCACTTGCAGTTTATAGCTGTTGATTTCGATATCCTGAGCAAGTCTAATGAACTGTGAGGTACAAATCCCACTGACTGCATAAATGCTATGGTTTCTTCTGAGAACAAGGAAAACTTAATTCTAAAAATATTTTAGAGTTCAAAAAAATAAGTTAGCAAAGGCATAATTTTATTCTAATATTAGAAATAAACAGCAATACTTATGTACAACCTAAATTCTAGAGCAAGTTTTCCTTCAGCCTGTTACCTAGTTTATGCATAACCCCATCTGCAAAGCAGTGTCATTATTGCTTTCCGTAGTATTTTAATTCTGAAATCTTAATGCTGTACTTTGTGCTTTGTTTTTGCGCACCAACTCCAAACATTTTCTAATACTCTTGCAATGAGTATTCCATTGTAATACATATTTTACTATTTTATAGTTACTTCCTATTTGCAGATTTGTTGTGCTATTTCTTTACACTAATTATCTATTCTTCTGTAGCATTCTGAAACTTTACATTTACTTATCCACACAATTTTCAGTAACATTACAAAGAAATACAGTTACAACAGCTTAACTGATTTATGAAGAAAGACAGTTTACAGAGCAGTATTATGCTGCATACTACATAACATTTAGTCTTTGATCTCTTCTAAGTTCCATGGAGAAATCCTGTATCATAATTATTGCATTTTACATACATTTTTTTCACTAGTAAATATCTGAAGTAACACGACTGCTGTACTGGAGCTCTCCAAAGCAGTGTGTTTTTATAGCATAAAAGTACATGAAACCAAAGGTTTTAATGCGTGCTTTGAGACAAACATGAGGTCACATGAAAGATGCAAGGCCTGTTGGCATAGGTTAAAAGAGTGTAGAATCAAAAATCAGATTTGTTAAAGTTCCAATAATAAGACAATATATTTCACCAAGGAAATTTTCGCCTAACTGACAGGATATGACCTCAGCTGGCAAAGCTGTTCAGGAAGACTTCTTTTAACAGTTAAACAGTTTGCTCTTGAATTCATTTTTTTAAAAAATTCTATTAAATTAGTTTTCTTGAATAATTTTCTTCAGACATATTAAATAAGTTGTAGAAAAAAATTTACAGAATTCAGAGAGCTATTTCATAAATATTCAGGATCAATAAGAAGTGTTATATGTTGAAATAATTTATTATTTATTACTAAATAATTTTGGTTATTACAACTATTTTAAAAAATAGAAGATTAACTAGGCAGTCAAATGAGGAAGGGTTAACTAGATGACCTGAAAAATGCAAACCCATACACAGTAATTGCTAACTTCTACCAGCTCATGCTAACATTTTTTAAAATGACTGCCTTGGACCTTTTAATAATGAGTACTGGGATGGATGCATGCATTAATATCACCCTCTACAGTAGTATTCCTTTATTTTCTTATTATTTCTATATAGCAACATTGCTTGCATGCAAGCTATACAAGGAATTAAGTTTTTTTGTTTGTTTTTTTTTACAAATACTCTTAATTGAAAATGTTTGCTAAACTAAACAAACCAAACTACATATATTCTCCAGCTCATTAAACAACATCATGAGTTGAATTAATTTAACACCTAAAATAAGTTTCCTTGCAGTCTGGGGAGCGGGGCATAGTGGAGAGAAATGTTACATTCCATTTGTGCAGAACAGCAGTCCTATTCTCTGGAGTCATCGGGCTTTATGATAATCTCAGCCTTTTTAGGAAGCAAAACTTTCCAATTCATTTTTGCATAAAAACATTTAAAAGGAAGCACAAGGTCTCTCCTTCTCTCTCTTTTTTTTTTTTTATTATTAAAATGCAACATTTATAATTTAAAATTTCATTATTTGATTCATTATATTTTGAAGAGGGAAAACAGAAAGCAAGAGTGATTTTG